AAATTGAGAATTAAAACCCAAAATTAATGGTCAACTGTACTAAAAAGAAGAAATTAGCAATCCTTCGACCGTTAAGGTGTCTAGGTATCCCTTTCGCAGTTTTAACCACGCATTCGCTTTAGAGTTCCTACAAGAAGCCAATTCCAATTTCCTTGATTAGCCCTGACGTGGTGGCTGGTTAAAGGCTATGCGAGACTTAAATATTGTAGATACATCTCCGTAACCAGTTACGCAGTGAGGGTTGTGTCCATAAAAATTAACTTGTAAATTTGCAGACCACACTAATAAGCAAACGTCAGTGCAAACTTACGTATATTCTATAGGGTTGAGCGCCCATCGACCGAATCTCTCGGAGGTTCTTCAGCTGCTGAGAAACGAGAGCGCCTTCAAACATTACGAGCAACATTAACGTCATTATCGGGTACAGCCAGTACTCATCCAAGCACCAAAGGATGACGCTGAACACTTGAAAGACGAAAAACGGTGCGGTCGCTCTTTCTAAAAATAGTTCTGCGAATGGGGGTACAGAAAGTTGAAGTCTGCGGGGGTATATGAGAAATTGGTGAGTTACTGATTGTCGCCGTAGGTTTCCTTGGCATTTACAAACTCCTCCTTTGTGGTGTATCCACGCCAGTTCTTGTATTGTTTAACGGGCCAAGAGAGAGGAAATCTGACCGCGTGAATACTCTCCTTGTCATTTGTTTCAAATGTGTATTTCAGGCGTTGAAAATACAAGAAATTCACCGTCTTGCCGGTCGCTTCGCTCTACCAGTGAAACGATTTTAAGTCCGCTTACTTTTTCGTGAAGAACAGGAACTACGTTGGCGTAACCGGCATTAGCTGGAGGAACAACTTTCGCAAAATCAGCGAAAATAACCTGGTCCTCCTACGCAATTGGAGAGCTATTATTTAAACGTACCCTTTTGTACATCAGAAAACACCGCACGGATACAAACCAAAAACAAAATAGAGCCGTAAGTATTTGTACGGAAGCAATTATGGCTGTTACGATCGCACCAAGTTCGAAGTATTCTGCTACTCCCAACGTTCCGAACCAGTATCCGAACCATGATGCGTATAGGATTATAAATGGAAAAACATAGCCATGAAGCAATATGTGTTTTTCTTTATAAAGATCGACAGAGTCGATATAAGGAGCCAAGCGCCCGGACGCCATCACCTCGATTCGGCGTACTTACTGACGTCGCCAAAACAACAGCGCGCAGCCGGCACACCAAAGGCCGCTGCGTGTCGTCGAAGACTAGAACGATGGAAAATAGGACAGATATCGGTGTTCTGGGGGGAAAGTTCTTTTAGTCATGAAATGCCGGACTGCTTCTATTTTCTTCCGTCAACTATCATGACGAAGGCTAGATAGAACCTATCAATATACCAGACAAGATTTAATGTTTATATTCCCCGTAAA